TGCCTATATGCTCGGAGAATACATTTATTTTATTATTTTACTTGAAGATGGGGTGCCTTGTTTTTTCCCATGGTTGTCTGCACCATTTAATATCAAGCAAGATTTCCTGGATCCTGTTTTTTGAACTTTCACCTGCCCCACAAAGAGCAGAGAGCTGTTGGATCAGCCATCAGAGCCATGAACAACTTCATTCTTCCATTGTAAACATTTATTGAAATATTTACCCTGAATCACCAACCTCATGGTGGCTCTAGAGGTAAAGTCAAGATCACCAAAGTCAATAGGACTCTGGGGACCATGCATGTCTGTACAAAATTTCATGACGATCCATCCAATAGGTGTTGGTGACCAAAGTGGTGGCACAACTGACCGACATTGCTAAAGATTGCCATAGATATAAATACTAAAAATAAATTCATAAAATTGATAAATACGTTCATAAAATTGATCACACTGAATATCACAATATTATTAATTTAGTCGTTGTAAGACATTGGTATATGAATTGTTGATTGTGTGTGGAACATAAACACACACAAACATACAAAGCAACACTATTACGAAGTGGTTAAAAAGAATTGGCCCCAGAACTAAACCCTGCGCTGCACCTTTGGTCACATTTAGAGACCTTAATTTGAGCCCTTATACCTGCACACATTGTGTTCTCTTTATTCACAAACTCCTGTACAGGTTCAGCAGAAAGACCAGTGCTGAAGACACAATCGTGCAGAAATCGCTAATAAGCAAGGAAAGCTAAATGAATAAAGCATGCTCCAAAACACCTGACCTAACTCCTGAAAGGATCTCCTCATTGAATCAGTATTTTCAAAATCAGACATCAAACACACATTTGCAGACATACTGAGAACCCTAAAAAAGTTGTGTTTTTATCAAGACAGGATTTTGAACAAATATTTAGCAGTATATGTAATTGCTACATAACTATGCCTGACTGGGGAATTTGTACGTGCAGAAAGTTTTGCTTTCAGGCAGTACCAGTGTATAACTGAATAACAGTGGTTTTATTCAAAACTATTGCTATCTCTTCCACGTTTCAAAAATGCAGAGCAGTGTAACTTGCTGCTTCTGATAGTGGTTTTGTTTCTCTCTGCATTTCCCCCCTTTTCCATTTGCTCCTCTTTCTTTTGTCGTGTATCTGTCTGTCCCAACACAGAGCATTTTAAGGATTTCGTTTTGGGGGGGGAGACTATCTCTATTAAAGGACAGCCAGCAGCTGGCCACGCCTGCTAAATCCTCCCCACAAAACCCACCCACCAGCTCCATCTGCTTCCCAAGTGGAACCCCCTGACACGCACAAACACCCACTCACACACACACAGACACACACACCTACTTGGTGCTCTTTGATCCCAAGAGAGCGAAGCCTACATCTGTTCCTAGTACATCAGCTCCCCTTAAGACAATGAATTCCTTGTTGGTTTATAGAGTGGATGACAGTGAAGTGAGGATACACTGTATCTGCTCACACACAGAGGTACAGTGCTTCAGTGACCGTGACCTTCACAGTTGATGCGGTGGCTTTTAACTGTTTTTACATGAAAAACTCCATTAGTTTAGGTCTTCTGCATCTAGAAAGGAAAAACAAGGACAATGTAACTACAAACAACAAGACAAATTCAAAACAATCACTTATTAAAATGGCCATCTTCCTGGTTTTGGACAACAAAATGGAGATGCATTGAAAATACAATTTCTATTTTTTTACCGGGCTCTGCATGTGCAGAGAAGACAATTGTAAGATTTGTTCAGACCTGGAACTGGTTTTAAAGGCCCTGCAGTCATGGTAAACCACACTGGAGATTTTAATTATTTTGGCTGAGCAGACATCTTCACAGAACTACTGGCATCTCTCTCTCTGTTGGCTTTGGTCTGTGTGTTAGGGAAGGAGAAATTACACCTTTATCGTTCATAATAGTACATGAGGCCTGGCAACATTACGTAATTCCACCTGCCTTCAACCTAAGCAGAGGACTATGCAGCCAGAATAACTGAAAACACCTGTGTGGGTGCACAGGGCCATAAAGACACACTGAATACCAAAACAAAGTTAATGATAACTGGGTAGAAATAAAAATGACATCAGAAAATGAAGGAATAAATGTGTTAAATGAAGATGATAGCATGTAAATGGTACCATTAACCTCCTTCTTTATTATATTTTATACATCACACTTTGCAATAACCTTTCTTAAGCAGCTTAACATTCCCCTCACTCCTCACTTCTTTTTGTTGGTCATCCCACTGGTTAAAATTTTAGAATGATTCCTCCACACATCCTGTTTTAACAGGAAATTCATACATCATGAAGAAGATAAATGTTCATTCAAGGTAGTTTTATACTTCAAGAGACTTGCAGTTAAAGCTAGAATACCAACCTCACAAAGCTGCCCTTGTGCTCCAGACCCAGACGGGATACAGTTGTGTGGAAATTAGTTTTATTACAATTATGTGTGGTATTATGCACCACTAAGGAACTATATAAATTGCAAGGGTACTAAGGTTGCTCCTGCATGGGTCCTGTCTTGTAGAGGAGCCCTGTGTAAAATATTAAAACTTTTCTAACCTTTAATTTTTCAGTTTATAGTACTTAAAGTACATATCCCTAAATACATTTGTGTATGCACATGGATCTACTGTCCTTTCAGTCCAGAAATACATGTACATGCAGGTGCACAGACACATAATGTATGTATTTTTAGAACCGGAACGCTACAGGAGCAGCAGATAAACAAGGCAGTCATCCAACATTTGAGATTCCTGGTGAATAAAAGTCTTCTTCCTCTGGGAACTGACTACAAAAGGCTGGGCGGACGACATAGCGAGACAGGGTAGAGAGAGGGGAAGGGAGAAAGGAAGAGCATATGAGGTGGTAAAGAGTAAAGTCTAGGTAGAGAGGGACCTGACGGAGGCAATGAATAATTAAGTAGTCCATAGCTCCCTCCTCATCTTCATCCTTTTCTCCTCCTCCTTTTTCTCTGCTTTATCTCTCCTCATCCTCTCCACCTCCTTATCATGTACTCTCTCCACCTCCCAATCCTCTACTCCCTCTTCCTTGGCATCCTCCAGTACTTGCCTTTTATCCCTCTTTCTCCTCCTCTTCATCCTCTACTCCCTCCTGGTCATCTTCCACTTCCTCCTCCTCTTCAACCCCCTTAAATCCTCCATTCTGTCTTTGTCTTCATCTCCATGTCTCAGTGTTTACTCTTCATGGTTGACATTTGTTGGAATGGTGCTGTGCCATAAAGATAACATACTCTGGAAGTGCTGTACTTTTAGTTAACACTGAAGTTTTATACGTGAACCAGGACTAAGCAAAGTGGAGTTTATGTCAATACCGAATACAAAATGTAGCCAAGACCAAGTCAGGAAAATAAAATCTAATTACGGTAATGAGTTAATGGTCTCATTTGCAGGGCTGCCACATTTTTTACATTAATTTGGAGTGAGATTCGGAGTAGGCCTTCTGTGACATTATCCACCACAGGGGTCATCGATGTCATCACTGCTGAACCTCCAGGAATGTTGTTTAAAAGATTCAGCAGCCAAACTCCCAATTTCAAAGCATGTAAAGAAGAAGATGAAAGGCCAAGTCAATAATCATTTCTTGATTAACAATTTATCCATCCGCCCAGAACTTCACTGCTGTGTCACTGCCTACAGCGCAGTTTGCCAGATATGGTTGCAGAGCACAAGTTTTGGTCTCTGAATAGGCACGTAGTGAAGCCAGTGTAGTGTAAATAGAACAGGAGTGATGTGTGCACTTCTGGATGTATTTGTTAAAAAGTGGGCAGCAGCATTTTGCACAAGTTGAAGACGCGAGATGGATGTTTGACATTGCACTAATCTAGCCTTAAACTAATAAAAAGTGTGAATAGACTTTTCTAGATCTTGCCTGTTAAGAAAAGGCTTTACTTTAGCCAGTCGACGAAGTTGGAATAAGCTCGTTCTGAAAACATTGCTAATCTGTTTGTCAAATTTCATGCTGCAATCGAATGTCACACCCAAATATTTGCTTATTATATTTGCTTGGCGCATTAAGTCAAAGCTCCCAGACTTAAAGCTGGATTGTTTGACATGGCATTTAGTACTTAAGATAATACACTCAGTTTAGGCAGTTTAGTGCAACACTCATTAGGTTTCATAGGCAGATAAATTTGCAGGTCATCTGCATAACAATGAAATGACAGGTTCTGCTTGTCTATTATAGCCCCTAACGGCAACATATATAAAGAGAACAGGATGGGGCCAAGAATTGAACCCTGGGGCACCCCGCAATAGAGAGGAGCAGATGATGAGAAGTCCTGGTGAATTCGTGACAGAGAAACTCCTATTTGTTAAATAGGAGCTAAACCATTTAATTGAAGGCCTACAAAATGCTCAAGGCATGCATATTGATTAATAAGCTTTAGAAGTGAACTCTTTGTTTTCACATTGGAGTCAGCAAGGCTGTTTACCCCACCCTCCAACCTTTCTGCTAAGCTAGTCACAGAAAGACGACAGATCAATCTTCTCATCTAACATCTGGAAAGAAAGCATGTAAGCAAAGGCAAGACCACAATTTCCAAAAAGGACAAGTCAACTGAAAGAAAGTGTCTCGAGACGAGACCAGACTTGAGTAAGAACATCAAAAATCTGGAGAACTCGTTAATAGCAGCAGTATAATCCTGTTTCAGTACATCATAAAATGACTCATTAACTGAGATTTTCAGTTTTGGTCATGACTCACAAAATCATTTCACTAAAGAGTAAATGGGACAGTTGATCACTTGCTCAATCCAACAAGCACTCACGGTGTTACCTTCAAACATGACAGGACATCTAATAAACTTTGACCCATGCGCTCATTACTGTGTCAACTGACTATTGATTTCTATGCAACAAGGGAACATAAAAATGTGACATTTGTTTGGTATTTTTTAGAATGTCAATTGTCAGGACTGTGTTACTGACAGAATGTGTGTTATGTCTCTGTGTTTCAGGTGGCTGTTCTGTAAAAAAAAAAAAAAACAAGATGAAGACAAGATGCTGAGATGGAGGATCCAGACGAATGAAAGAGCCCCAGTTCTCTTTATTTATTACCTTCACAATATGTGCGCGTGTGCGTGTGTGTGTGTACATGAGAAAGAGAGTGAGCATTGAGTATAGTTATGAATGCATGTGTGCATTATGAAAGGTACCTAAGATTTCAGGCTATCATTTGTTTACTTTTTATAATGTTCCAATAACTCATATATCATTGTCACAGTATAAACAAAAGGACTTTACTATTGGTACATATTGTGTTTTGTGTTTGTAACTAGCCTCCTATTTAAGAATGTATATTTGTATGTATGATATACTCATCTAGAAACTATATAATGGACAGTTTTAATATTGTTTCGTCTTCTCACCACCACACTGCTCTTGCAAAGACACATAACTCAACAAACACATACTGGAGCCATGCATACAAGCAAATCTGTATCTATAAAACAAAAACAATGCTCTCAGTTCAGAAGGAAAAAATTGTCCTAAAGACTTTCATTTCTTTTTAACCAGGTTCAACTATAATTTGTGGAACCGCAGACAACAATAATATCAAAAGTGGAAGCAGGGCTCCAGACTAACTTTTTTCACCTCCGTCCCTGAACCGTCCTGAAAAACAATTTGAATCGTCCTGAAGTTAATGTAAGTTAACTGTCGGGACACCTTTTTACCTCGATGATAAATTATTTAATTTCAATTCAGTTATAAACTCCTGGACATTGTTTCAGCAAGTTTTCTGCTCATGTTCAAAGCATTCTGCATATTCAGAATCTCACATATCTTTGTTCTCTTAAATGTAAAAGAAAATCGTAATAATGACTAACATCATTATTTAATGAGAATTCACAATATTTTTAAAAGGTCTACCTGACCTATACTCTGCTCCCCTTCAGACTCTACTGAATGAAACAAGTGCACTGCACTTCGTCGGAGGTAAAAAACAAAACTAACACTGCCAATCACGCAGACATCTCAGCGCAAATCCTCATATTGACTTCTGCCGCTCACAGTCCCAAACAGAGCCAGATTGTGCTTCAGGTTATAGATGTTTAATGCAAAACTCTACCCGCAAGTCTGCTAGTCGATGTTTTCACAATATAGATTTGTTTTTCACTGCGTGAGAAGATTGGTGTGTAGCGCTTAACGCTAGCCTACACTGTGCAATTGAGAGATCAGCAAGCTGTTTGTCACTGAGAGAATCAATGGACCTGTACCGCGGGAACAGGTGAGCAGCCAGCCTCCTGTGTGAATCCGGCATGACTTTCGTAACAGCATGAGAAGACGGCCTCCGTTGTAGTCAGCACTCGGTCGGTTTAGTTTATCATTTGCTAAGTGATCGTAATAAATAAACACACACACACACACGATCCCTTTCGTCCTAGAGGCGTCCTACAGAATATTTGTCTTTGTCCCAAACACATTTTCATCCCCAGGATGACAGGACGCAGTTAGTCTCAAGCCATGGCTTTCAGGTGCTGTAACACATCCTCTGGTAGCCATATTGGAGGTCCGTGGTTCTTTGACAGCTACTTTTATGTTAAATGTACAACTCTCCTGACTCTGCAGTTAAGACGTGGTTAACTTGCATCTATTTTAAAGGTTGAAATTATTATTTAATTAATGGTACATGTAGCTGATTTTGTGCTATCATAATGTAAACTTGTTAGCTGACTAACTGTGGTAACTCACCATTTTGGTCTGATTTAAACACTAAAGCGCACATATAGTAGGAAGTAGGAAACAGGAGGTGAGCAGTTGTATTTCTCTCCTCATTTGCCGGCCTGGGTGGGTTAAGGTTGCACATTTCCACATGTTCAAAGGGCATGCATTTTTCAGAGCCTTATTTTTATAGTTTTTGGCTATCATTTATCAGAATTTTTCACTCACAAATAGCATTGCTGAGATCTTCATTGTAAAACCGTGTGCATTAATTACTAATAGATAAAAGTTGAGGCAAGTTAAGGCTGGTACGTACTAAAGAGATAAAATATTTTGGCACATGCACAGAGCGCCATCATAATACATCCATAAGCTAATAATGCTCACATTTGCCTTTGTTTTTTTCTTCAAAATAATTTAGTTTAGACTGTTATAATATTTGCAATGTAATAGAGTATTATAGCGGACTCAATATTTGCATTGCGAAATAAAATTTTGCGAGTAAACTGTTATCATAACCCTTAAGAATGATGGCCAAAACTGCAAAAGTAAGACCCTGGTTGTAGAATACTTGTAATAAGGATTCTTAATGTTTCCAATGGACCTCCATGTAACCAGACCTGCCTGATATGAGTTTTGTGTTGCAGCTGAAATGCCGCTCTAACATAAAAAATATCTGCTGATGATGAGATGTTGACGGTGCACACGTAACATAACACATAACAACAGGGAGAGCACGAACCAGTGTGTGTTAGAATATACAGTACGCAATACCGTAATTGACAAAAACTGTAAGTGTGTGTGTCTGATAGAGATTTGTATGTGTGCTAGTGTGCATGAGTGTATAAAAACATGGGCAATAGCTAAGCATTGGTGCTTCCATCCTTGCATATGAGCTAATGTACAAAAAAAGGTAGAACACCAATAGGCTGTGTGGCTTATTGTTTGATCTGGCCCACGACAATCCTCCCTTTCACTTTATCTAATATTATCAAAGGATCGGCAATATTCTGTTTGTTCAGTTCATGAGTCAAATGTGAAGACTTATTTGGAGCTTTCCTTATCAGACAAATTAAGCAAGTGAATGGAGTGAGTCCTTTGCGGTGTGTGATAGTGTGTGTGCAGTATGTGAAATGTAGGTGCTCATGATCTATGAGTCCCTTCACCACCAACTTGTGCTCTCATGCATGGACGTCCCCCATTTGTGTGCCCCTCAACATGTTCTAAATGTTTTGGAACTTTTTATGACACCGTGACAAAGGTCAGCTGTATAACAGTATCATCTGCAAAGATGTTGATACTGCATTTTGCTCTTTCTTTTGATGTTTTGTGTGAAATTATCTGAATATTATTACAGTTTAGACGTTTGGTGACAATTGTGAAGTACTATCAATACAATGGCTTCCTCTTAGATTTCAATCGGTTTGAAATCAACTGAAACAATAATATTGGCCCTGCACTGTTGATTAACCGAAGAGATGAGGCTGCAAATGTGACATCATGAAGAATTGGAAACTGTGGATATTTATCATGTCTGCCTCTTAAACACACACACACACTCGCACTCATATTTACAATATAGATGTCTTGCCTGCTAGGATAAACTTCCCACACCCATCTAGTCCTATCAGCTACAGTACAGTATAAACCTGCAGCCCCTCCATGTCCCCCTCCAGATGGTCTGTCACATTTAAGAATAGGGTTTTTAACCTGCAAAGAGTTTGTGGGAAGCAGTGTTTTTTGTTGTAATTTTTTTTTTGGGGGGGGGGGGGGGTTGTTTTGGATTTTTTCATGTCTATCTTAATGCAACACTCACACATTGTAATCATTCCTCTTCTCCATTAAGACCATGAAGTGATACTTTCATAGAGTGACTACAGTGTAAGAAATGGTTCAGCGCCAAAATGTATTCCAAAATTCGGCTATAATATGACGCTTCAGCAGTCTTGAATTAGCAGAATCAAGTTGTTACCTTAGTTGGGCCGGCCGCGTTTACGTTTATTGATAGATATTTTTCTAAAGAGAAGGTGGACCAAACCAGAGCCTAAATGACAAGCAATATTGGCCTTCTATTTATCAGATGGCTGGGATGGGCCATGTTGTTCTGTTGCTGGAGATGTAAGCCGATAGTCGCTTGCTAACCTGTTAGCCATAAAAACATATGTTGATCAGAGGTCCGCGATGAGATGTTCTTTGTGGTTTTTCTGTCGTCTAGTGGTCAAAAAACACCTAATTAGCCTTTAGTTACACTTGTTACTTGTTAATAAGTCAAAATGGTGCAAAAAGGTACGTCAAATGTATCAACAAAAACAAAATGTGACCAAGTGCAATAGAAAAAGACAAATAAATCATGCCGTGCTGAAGCTTTAGCTCCACTGCAGAGACAAAAGATGCCAGCAGACAAGAACATCAGAGCTGTGTGGAGTGATGAAGAAACAAACATACATTTCCATCACGTTTTACACATGATGTTGTTAGTTTGAGGTTGACATTAATTAATGGTATTAGACTGGAGAATTAGTGCCAATTGTTTATTTTGATACTTGCAACTCCTAAACTTTACATAACAGTAGTGGCTGGAAATGCACGTTAATTTAAACTTTCTTGTGTGGATTTTCTGGAAATCAGGTTCAAAGTTGTGCTACATTTGGATGGAAATATTAGTTTTGACTGAACTTTTGCAAAGAACAAGGGATGTGAATTTTGTTTTCCTTATTTGTGTAGTCACTTGACGAGGGAATCACTGCACAACCAGTGTAGTGAGGAGGGATGATTACAGCAATCCATAACTCTTTCAACATACATGTGAGTACTGAATTAAGGTGGACTTGAAAATATATGAATCTGTCCTTTTAAAGGAAGAAAAGCAAGTAAGAGAATGAATTGGAGCCTTAAAGCGCTTAGACATTTTACCGTGACAGTCCAGCTTCTTCGACCATAGAGGGTAGTAGAGGCAAAGTAAATAATTATGGGCTAGACTCTCCCCAGTAGCGTTTTGAAAATGCACTTTAAAGAAAAGTCAGTTTGCCCCACATTCCAGCCTGTATGGTCACATTTATGCACTTGCTTTGCCCTAATGATATATATATATATATCTATATATATATATATATATATATATATATATATATATATATATATATCTATCTCCTTGCTTTGCCTGACGGAAAGCAAACTACCCATCCTTACAAATGTAAATCTCGTCCCTCATTTTGAATCTTTACCACAGATTGAGGAGAGCTCGTGGAAATGCTGTACTTGAAGTTATCTTGCGGCTTTTCAGTGTCATCCCCGGGCTGTGATTGTGCAGCGGAAAAAAGGGGAGGAGAGGGGGTGGGTAATGCCAGTAAAGCGGCGTGACAGAAGAGGGTTAATACCATCGAGCTGTGCTAAGATAGCCCAGCCTCATGTGGCTTTAAGGGATTGCAGGCAGTATTAGCAGCTGAATAATTATTTTGGGATGTTTCTCCTTGTGCACACTTTTGGTGTGGCACACATTGCTTCCTTTCCCCCTTAACGCTCTTACTTCTGTGGAGCTTTGGCAGCCTGCAGTCTTGTACAAAATCTTATATTTTTGAGTCCTGTGTGGGCAGAGTTCCTGAGAGCACTCTGTTCAAACTTGAATGTTCTTCAATATATCTCAATAAAGTCCAGACAAGGAAAGACTAGGTGGTATTGCACATTTAGCACTGTGACAAGAAAAATTAGAAATAATATCAATAGAAATGTCAAAGGTGGAAATTGATAAGGCGCTGACACACCTATGAAATGAAACATTGATGCTTCTACTAGTTTGTATACAGGGTTGCAAATGTCCCCTTAAATGCTTTCAAAGAGATATCATATATGATTATACATATATTATGAATATAAATATAAGGCATCTATTTTTTTTGGCATTTATCGTGTGGACAGAAGTGGTATTGGTAGGAAATACATATAGGTTGGATTTAACGTGCATCCTTGCTGTGCTGAACAATGATTCTGTGTTTGCAACTTTTTTCAATAAAGCTTCTCTTGCATTTTTTGTTTTCTTTTTGTATGCTGCACTGAAAATACATCATTTTCACAAGTGATTTGGAAAAACAGAAGTGTCGTCAAACACTTTATTAAGTGAAACAATATAGTATACAGTAGAATAGCTGTTGCATTATTTGTTACGACCTGTATGTAATGTTATTATGGAAGATGTAATGTCCTTCTGTAAATGTTGTTTAATGTTTTACCTGAAATAAAATTTATTAATGCTTCAGATGTGACTTTGAATCTGCTTTCTATCGAGTGCCTGTGACTGCATTACAACGTTACGTGTTCTTTCCTTTTCCCCTGTTCCTAGTTCAATTTCTGATACATCATTTTCACAAAGACAAGGGCCCTGCCTTGATTACCAGCTCCCCTAAGGACAGACCGGGTGTGTTCTTAGACTAGCTAGTACTTTTGTTACATATTCCTTTCCTACAGGGGTCTAACAGAATGCTACATAGAACAATTTAACAGGACAATACCAGTGTTTTTGCATGCGAAAACAGCACGCAGCTGTAGCAAATGCAGAACAGCGAGGGCTGAACAGCACTGGGGTTTTTAGAAAGCAGACATAACAGTCAGAAAGTTTGAAAGATTCAACATGACTTATTTTGTGATTATGGATTACTGTTGTGTGTAAGGAATATTTCACGTAAATGCATTATACAGTGTTTTTTTTGTCTCATATTATGTCCATAAACTCAACAGATCATCTCATGTCACATATCATCAGAACCTAGAGACAATGGTACCAACACATTCTGGTAACGCACAAGTTTGGTTGCAGTTCTTATCCCTCCCTCCTCTGTACAGCCCAGCTCTAGCATTCCTACGTCAGTGTCTCCTGCTAACAGGCAGACAGACAGACGACAGTGTCAGTTAGATAGCCTTGCTCTCATCTTGTCAACATTAGGGTTCATATGTATTTTTTCCACCTTCGGCTGGTGTTTCAATGCTTAGTAATAAACAGGGCTGATTACCGGGAGCTATGTCTCATCTATTTGAGATTTCACAAACATACTCTCAAACTGCACTCTGTCTGCGCAATGGGCAGGAATGCAATGTATCAAGCATGCTTGATTCCAGCGGAGTAGATTAAAATTCACTTCATTGTTAACCCCGTGAGGAGTTGGACAATTTCAGTTTCAAGGGAAATGATTAAAACATAAGTAGACACAGATGGACGCAGACCAACAATCTTGAATACATCAAGAAAAGAAAGCCAAAATACAGCTTTCCTTCAACCTTAGATATACAATCCCTGATTTTGATATACACACACGTTTTGAAACATCAGTCAGATGAGAAGAAATCAAGTTATCTTTATGTAAACAAGTAAAGAAATCTTCAAAAGAATGCCCTGATGTGGCTATCTGAGGGCAGCAGGAACGAGCTGTATACACAATGCTGTGTGGAACCATTAGAGATGATATAGTAAATGTGTTAGCAAACCATTTACTTATTTACAACCAGCAGACACAGAGAAGCATTGTCATTCATTTATTATTTTTATGCATGTCCATGTCTGGGCATTTGTTGAATGCAAGTCCAATATTCACTCTCCCTTCAGCTTTGCTTTGGTCTCCAGCCACTCCTGGGAGCCGTAGCTGCTGCCATACAATGTTATGGAAACAGTGCTGATGACGGCAATGAGACTGAACCAAACAATGGAAGTGTGGGCCATAACACCACAACAGTGAGCTGATGGGAAAGATAGTTGAGTGATAATTCTCTTTGGGTTCGTCATAGCGTCCCATTTCCCACACAGGTAGTTATTTGATCCATTTGTAATGTTCATATTTGATTAAAGCAGCTTTAAATTAAAGACAAAGTAAGATAACGACTAATGACTAAGGTTAAGTTTAATGCACACCTGATGCAGGCAGCGTTCTTTGCGGCCAGAACTTCACCTGTCATAGCCCTCGTGACCGTGGTTGCCAACATTTTTGTAGTCACGTTAATCTTCAAATCACAATTTAAATATCTTGTTATCTCAGACCTTTTCTTACAGCTTATCTTGGAATCTAAGCAACTGGTCGTTTTTCTCGAGATAACGGGATAAAGACAACAGCTTTTTATTGTTTCAAGATTATTATTCAATTATTAGAAGAAAGCCACTTTTGTTATCCCTAGATCATGAAATAATTAACTTGTGATCTCAAAATAACAGAAACAATACATTTTCTTGCAACCATAGGCGAGCTGGTCTTAGGCCTGTAAGAAAAAAAAAAAGGTTTGGCAGCAAAGGAACTGATGACAGATAATTATAGACACTGCTGCCTGCCACAGATACAAATTAAACATTCAATTCAGCATTGTGCTCTATGTGTGGAGTGGATTATGGGTGGAAGCATTTATTCCAGCGAAAATTTAAAGAACACACTTGGGCTTGTTATAGCCTACCATGTTTATGTTTAAATGGCAGCTTAACACACAGAGAAAGTCAAGTGGAACATGTTGGTATTGGTTAATACCAGAACAGTAATTAAGGTTGGATTAAACAACGATTCCACAACAACAGAGCAAAAGAATACCACACAGACAGATGGAGGATACCTAGGAATATTTATCAACATTTTCTAGTGCTAGTGATTTATTGTTAGTTTTATATTAAAGCATAGTAGTGGCTCTTAATGTACCACAAATCACTAAAAGGTTTCACACCCAACTATTGCAAACCATGCCTACAGCGTTTTGGGAGTATTTTGTCCAGGACTCCACTAGTTTCTGTTTATTCCTGTATGCTGTATGATACAATGAACGTGTGTGTGTGTGTGTGTATGTGTGTGAGTGTGAGTGAGTGAGTGAGTGAGTGAGTGAGTGAGTGAGTGAGAGAGAGAGAGAGAGAGAGAGAGACGTGATGTAAAGCCAGTCAATGTAAGACAGATGTAAACAGGAAGTGTATAAGTGCAGCTGTGGGCTAGTTAAGCGGACTGGAGATAGTCCATACGCCATTTATTGTACAGAGAGTGAGATACTGATCAAGCTGATAAGTAGCTAAATTTTCATTGTATATTTTCATGTTTCTCCCCGCGACCATGTACATAAGCGGTTGACGATGGATTAATGGATTTTCATGTTTCTTATGTCTTGACAGCTATTTATATGTAGTGTAACCTAATGTATTTTAGAGGAGGAAGATGCTGAAATCACCTATTGCTCTTTTTAATATTTGTCTTTACTGACCTAAAGTATTTACTCGTTTTAATTGTAAGTCATTTTAATTGTATTTCTGTTTCAACACATTTTTCTTTTCTAAGACAACTTCAAAATCATATATGATTTTTAACTTTCATCTTATCATTTTCACAAACTTTATACTACAGCTGCACTTTAAAGCTCGTTAAAAACTCTACACAGTCATTGATAACTATGAATTGTATGTTTCTCTTTCTTTAACCAGGTAAATGTATCAGATTAAAAGTAAGTTGGCATGTAAACAATTGTTAAAACATGAGATACAGATGTATGTTACATAAATGCAAACAGGCTACGTCACACGCTACTGAAAAGGATTCATAACATCTAATAAAGATGCGCATAGCCATGAAGGATTTGAGCTTTCCAAACTATTCAGTATAACGCTCTATTTGGCACTATTATTTTGAAGGTTTATACCGGAAGCGCCGTTGGATCGCGGTGCGCTTGACAATGAGGGGAACGAGAGTGAGGGAGCGCAGAACAGGTTTGAACGGCAGAGTGACGCCTCGTCGGGCAGACTGGAGACAGGAGCAGGTCTTTCCTGGAGGAGTACGTTTAAGTTTTGGAATTTCAGCCGGAGAAGCCGAGTTTGTTATTAAAATCTGGGGATCGTTCCCCACACTCTCGTGCCACCTCGGAGCTGTGAGAACTCGGAGCAGAGGAAATTCCGAAGAAGCTGCTCTTACCTCGCAAAGAAAACGCCAACAAAGAGCCTTCAAGGAAGTACCAGTTACTGTGCTGCCCGGAGAGGTAACGTTTACGCAAGTTAGTTCAGCAACAAAAAGAAAGTACGCGGCGGATCACCATGGTTAACAGACTCCTTCGTGCGGTTTTGACTATATTGTTTTTCATTCTGTTCCTGAACGTGGGGATTTTTCGAGTAAACGGGCAATACGGCGGCGGTGAGCGAGGAATGTCTATACCGGAGCACGGATTTTGCCAGCCGATCTCCATTCCGCTGTGTACGGACATCGCGTACAACGAGACTATCATGCCAAACTTGCTCGGTCACACCAACCAGGAGGACGCGGGGCTGGAGGTCCACCAGTTCTACCCGCTGGTGAAAGTCCAGTGCTCTCCGGATTTAAAGTTCTTCCTCTGCTCCATGTATGCGCCCGTCTGCACGGTGCTGGAGCAGGCGCTGCCCCCGTGCCGCTCTCTGTGCGAGCGCGCGCGGCAGGGCTGCGAGGCGCTCATGAACAAGTTCGGCTTCCAGTGGCCAGACACCCTCGCGTGCGAGTCCTTCCCGGTCCACGGCGCCGGGGAGCTGTGCGTCGGGCAAAACATGTCGGACCGCACGGAGCCGGACAGCCCCGGCCCGTACCCCACCGAGCGCACACTTTCCGACCCCATGAACGGCCAGTTCAGGTGCCCGGCCTCGCTCAGGGTGCCTCCCTACCTGAACTACCGCTTCCTCGGGCAGGAGAACTGCGGCGCTCCGTGCGAGCCTAAGCGATCTCACGGGATGATGTACTTCAGCGAGGAGGAGCTCAAATTCGCGAGGATATGGATCGGCATCTGGTCAGTACTGTGTTGTGCTTCCACTTTATTCACCGTGCTGACATACCTGGTGGACATGAAGCGCTTCAGCTACCCAGAGCGGCCCATTGTTTTCCTCTCTGGCTGCTACACCATGGTGTCCATCGCGTACATCGCCGGGTTTTTACTGGAGGACAAGGTGGTGTGCAATGACAGGTTTGATAATGAAATAAGGACTGTGGTGCAGGGCACTAAAAAGGAAGGGTGCACCATCCTCTTCATGATGCTGTACTTCTTCAGCATGGCCAGCTCAATCTGGTGGGTCATCCTGGCTCTCACCTGGTTCCTGGCTGCAGGGATGAAATGGGGCCACGAGGCCATCGAGGCCAACTCCCAGTACTTCCACCTGGCAGCGTGGGCCGTGCCCGCCATCAAGACCATTACCATCCTAGCTGTGGGGCAGGTGGATGGAGACGTGTTGAGCGGGGTTTGCTTTGTGGGCATCAACAGCGTGGACGCCCTGCGGGGCTTCGTCCTGGCTCCGCTGTTTG